GCTCTTCCCCTCCCCTCCGTCCCCCCCAGTGGCCGGATCAGCTACTTACAAAAGTCAGCGTGGACAAAGAGCCCATGAAACACGTCACAATGAAGAGGAACACGAAGAGTTCCCGCCGTTTGCCCCAGACGTGGGGGAATTCGTCCAGCACGGCGGTAATGACCCCCTCCAGGCCTGCAAACTGGGGTGTCGGGGGGGGGGAAACACGGGGAGAGGTCAAGGAAAGAAAGGATGAGGACCAATGGCAGGGTTAGCTCCTGACCATCAAAAAGAAACCGGACAGCCATTTGTCTAGAATGTTATACTCCTACTTGAGCGAGGGGGGTCGGGGTGGACTAGATGACCTCGGAGGTCTCTTCTGACCCTGTTATATTCTATGTTCGGAAGGACTGCAAACTCTCGGGGTGGGGGGGGGAAGCCTGGCTGTGCATCTCCCGGAATTCAAACGGCTGAGATGGGGAGAGGGGCCCTTTGAGGTCATCTACTCCCACCCCCTGCTCGGGCGGAGAAGTGGAAAAAGTCAACGTTGCGCCGAGATCGAACGCCTGAGCCCATCTGGGAAGGAGACTTCGCTTTCGCTCAAAATCTCTCCTGGCGCGGCTTAAATCCATTTATGGGAGCGTTTCTCAATGTCGGCAACGTTAAGCCGGGTGGACTTTGATTCCCAGAATTCCCCAGCCAGGGGAATTCTGGGAATCGAAGTCCACCTGGCTTAACGTTGCCGACGTTGAGAAACGGTGCGTTATCCCGTCTCTATGGAGTGAGAAACAACCAGGATATGCCAGGATCCTTCTTAAAAATCAGTGCCCTCACCTGGACAAAGACACGGGTCCCCTCACCCACCTGAGTGGCAGCCTTAAGCCCCCTGCCTGGGTAGCCCCCCCCCTCTTTCTGCGATCACTCTTCCGACACCCCATCTCATCCTTCCGGGTTACAATCCGAGTTTGCAAACCCAGTTTGCAACCTCTTGAATAAGAAGCCTTTGCAGAAAAGAGGGTCCCAGGGCAATCGAGACCCTCGCCCGCTTTGACCCCGATGGGCGACGGATGCATCAAAGCCGTCCACTCTGCAAAAAGGCTGGAACTACTTTTTTTAATAAATATTCGTGGTGCTCAGGAGTGGCGGGATCCTGCAAGGCTGACTCTGTGTCCTCCCCCCCCCCAAACACACACATACACACACACACACTTATACGCCTGTGAGTTAGGGAGGTGGCAACGGGACCCTCCCCTGCTCACCGTGCTGTCCAGGCCGAGGGTGATCAACATCAGGAAGAAGATGATGGCAAAGAAGGTGGAGGCCGGCATGTTGGCGATGGCCTCGGCGTAGGTGATGAAGAGCAGGCTGGGTCCTGTTGGAGAATCA